TCCAAATGAGTGTCTGTTCACTAGCCCCACCTCATCAAGCCAGTTTTTGGCAGGCCGCGCTCCTGTTGCCTTCTCTCCCCTCCCACCTCCTCTCTGGGTCACTTTTTTCACAGCTTTATCAGTACTCCTTCCTCAGCAGCACTCCATTTTTCACCCTTTGCTCCTTCTTCCATCAGAATTGGTTCCATTCCTGCATCTCGTCTAATCGGCCTCATCAACATGATTCACCTGCTCTCCACACACCTTATCTTAAATACTTTCAGTTAGGATCCAGAGACAAAGCTGTAGTCTCATTTTCAGTCTGATTTTGACTGTGCATTTCATTATGCCATGCAAACTTGAAGCTATTCAAGAGGAGGGATGGAGAACACTCCAGATTAAGCTATGTCATAGAGGTTAGAATACTCGACTGGGAGAAAACACGCAGCCTGGCCTCCCATTGTAGACATTCCCAGCCTTCACAGTGGCCATCCATCCAGGCACTGTAGAAATACTGAGTCTTGCATTTGCAGTTAAATATTTTTGATAATTGGGTGCTGGGAGACCTTGCTCCAAGGAGGAAAGATCAACTGCAACACTTTGACAATACAAACTGATGAAACATGTGAGAGGCACTGAAACATGTTAACTCATCAAGGAAGCAAAGGGAAGGTGAAGCTCAGCAAAGCAAGTTAAGCTTTTAAGAAAGTGTTCACTGTTGCTTTCTGTACCACCTGGATGCTTTAGTTACACATATGCACTTTATTTCCAAGCTAAAATGTATGTGTATCATCTTTCTTCTATCAGTCACCTGGACTGAAAGATGTGGAAAGACTGCAACATTTTTTGAGTGAAATAAGAGTACGACAAAACTGGTTATCCAGAAGAGCAAGCCAGCAACTCCATCCTTATCTGCATCTTTGCACAGTAGTACTGCAACTTTTCCACTCCAGTTAGCTTTGTAGTAGTCATAATTAACAGGCACATCCATAAACAAGCTACAGCTGCTCTAAGCACATGGCTCCTGTGGAAATCAAGTTTTTGTCTGGCCATCTTCATATCGGGGTAGCAGCTTCCAGTGACACTTTTCATCTCACCAAAGAGGTGCCGCAGTGAGCACGGGTAGAGGCACAGCTGCTTGAAGCACATGGCTGCTGTGGAAATCAAGAGTTTTTGTCTGGCCATCTTCATATTGGGGTAGCAGCTTCCAGTGACACTTTTCATCTCACCAAATAGGTGCCGCAGTGAGCACGGGTAGAGGCAGGGCGATGTGACATCTAATTAGATTTTAAGAATACGTGTTTTCCCTGGGTAACAGTAGGTTAGGGCAGCTTTAAATCTGGAGTAAAAGGAAAGCAAGTAATTTATTAACCAAGTTCCTCTAACACTTGCTTAACCTTTTGTACAGTAAATCTGTCTAAACAAATATTTAGACATCTTCCTACTCCTAAATCTGCAAACATTGAAACATGAGGGAAAACCATGATTTTCTTTTTTTTAACCCCCCTCACTTTAGCCCCAAGGAGCTTTGCCCAGACTTGAACATCATCCAATCTTGTCACTCTTCAGTCACTTTTCTGAGCAACTGTTCTCTTCACACACTAAGATACAATGGAAAATGGGGTAATTTCAATCATGCATTACTTTCAGATGTTTAACAGAAAAAAAAAAACCTGCTTTAAAGGAAGCCTTAAATCTTTACTATGGATATATTATTTCTAACTGGCCATAACATTTGTGGCCTAATTGTAGCAAACAATCTAGACATTATTAGCCTGTTATTCATTTGAAAAAACGAGACATTGGAGACTTGCTGCCTTATTTGGGCTAGTTTTTAGCCTTTACTATTTTAGTTAGCTCTTAGCAATCTCCAAGGTAACAAGGCATGGGCTATGTAGGAAAGAGCTGCGATACAGCTAGTACAAAACACACGTAAATCAGACTGTAGGAACATGCTGGTTTCTTCCACCTTTGAAAAGCACATGAAGAGATTTCTGTGGAGAGCTGGGGCAGCTTCAAACAGCAGCAAACAGAGCAGCATCCAGTGCAAATGGCAGGTGTACTGTGCTGTGGTCAGCACCTAGTAATCCACAGCCTGGAGAGCTGAGAGTTTGAGTAGTAAAGAAAAAATAAAAAAAAACCACACAGGCAGGAAATCATTCTTTCAAACTGCTGCTGGAAATAAAAAGCTACAGAGAAGGTAACAACAAAAAAGCATGTGGGCAGGCTTCCTGCCATTTCTGTTCCTTATTGTTGCCTTTCTACCCAACAACAGAACCTGGCAGCTGACATGAAATAGCTTTGTTTCAGTCTTCATCACCTGAAATCTCAAAATCAATGTGGTAATCCCAATGTTCAGTTCCTTTTGTTACTGTATTTTATTGGTTAGAATGAAAGTTAAATGTGCCTGTTAGCTATCATTCTACTGTATAACAATCTGACTGCAGGATTTCAACTACTGAGATCCTTTCAAAGGACTGGTGTTTTTTCTAAACTAAACCCACAACATCAGAACAGCTAGCTCCCACTAACTTCTCTCTGTACTCATCCAGCAGCAAAAAAGACATGGTTTTGTGCATACCTTGTACCTTCTGTTGGCATTCACACAATGAAAGGAGAAAACTGCCAGCAAGCTCAGTGCTTGGGGTGCATCATCCTTGCATCAGGCAAGGAAGCTGGGTTTGGAGGAGCCCTGGGGTTCCCCAACGGAAGCAACGGGTGCATAGAAGTTGCCTTGGGCACATGTGCTGCTAATGACGCACTCATAAGTGACCTGTTGAAGGACGAGGCAAATGTAACCTAGGGATAAGCTGGCAGAGCCTCCCTGCCTACCTGAACTCATTAGTTACAGCAGTTGTCTGCCATTTATAACCACCCTTGGCTTGGTGCTCTAATCATCACCATCCAGCACTCAGAATGATCAGGAGGCTCTGTGAGGGTGGCTCAACAGAAGTTCTTCCCAAATTAAGACAATAACACACACACAAATCCCCAGCTGCTGAAAGGAAGTCACTGATTCTGTTACCTCTCAGCAACTTAAAGCAGCAATGAATGAACAGAACTCTGTAGGAGCCGAGGAATGAGACCACAGCAAACAAAACAGTGCTCTCAAGAAGAGTCCTAAAAGTGTATCTTTGGAAAGAACACACGTACAAGTGTACAGTTCCCATTTATTTTACTTGAATTAAATAAAAAAAGTGTTTTTCCCATATTACACTTTTTTTCATCTGAGGCAGTCCTAGCAGAAAGGAAGTATAACCCTCCCACCACCTGTGAAATTTAAAGACACCAGTCTGCGGGCCCTGTGAAAGTTTGTATCATTATTACTCCATTTTGTAGAGTGAAAAGGACCTCAGAAACAGACTCCATTGCCAGTTGACCATGACTAACTTCTTGTTTAACCCTTCATGGTTTCCACCGTCTGAACAGCATCTAGAACTCTTCTCCTGAGTTGCTGGACATACATCCTGACGGTAGAAAATCCAAAATACGTTCTTGCCCAATGAACTCTGGCACTGCTTGTAAAGTCTGAACAGAGTGCTCTTGTCTAGCGAGGTTGGCCAAGCAGTCCTGCTTTAGCTGCCAGAGCTTCGTTCTGCTGAATATGGTACTCCTGAAATCTCATGGAGATCCTTTGTGTCATTTTTAAATACTTCTGTAGGCAGTGGTCTGAGCAAGTCATCTAGAGGAAGAGGGAAACACAAGGCTTCAAACAGTAATTAAAACACTTCCCCAAACAGGACCCAAAATATAATCATATACAGGGAAAAATGATGAGGTAACTACATCTCATATTCTGTGTTAAGCCTCAAGATAAGGGCCTAATTGTGCACAGCCTCTCTGTGCAGTGGAAAATGTGAAGTTTAGTTTGAGGTATGTCTGAAACTTCTTTTAATATTCATTCTCATATGAAAGTCTTCATGGAAAACATCTCAGATCTAGGAGATATTACCATTTAATTTCACAAGAGGAGCCCAAGGATGAAAGTATATAAAGCATTTTATTTTGCAATAAATACTCAATCCATTAAATTAATATCTTCCTTTTTTAATTCTGTTTACAAATATATACTATTTTTGAAAGCCAAATACAGTCTACTCTGTGCGAGCTCAGTTTAACCTTTTCTTGACTGATAGAGCTAATACGAACAAGGTCATCTTGTACCTGCTAAGCTAACCTCCACAAAAGCAACCAGAGTACCCTCTGAAGTCCTATCAGTCAGCTGGACAAGGAAATAAATACCAGGGCCTACTCCACCCATGGTATTATTATTCAAATTTAGAAGTAGTTTGTTTGTTTTTTTTTCTTTAAGTGTAGAGAAAGAGTTACGAGATTATTTCTGAGCAACAGTTCTACCAACCGGATATTCTGTATCATGGTTCTAAACCTTGCTATCGCTGTAAAAGTTAACAAATTCAGACAGAAAGGAAAGACAACCACATTGCACAATTACTTAAAAACCTGAAATTGCTTTCATTCTGCTCAGTATAAAGGGACATGAAAAGCAGAGGGGCTGAAAATGAACAAGACAAAAAAACCCACACAAAACCAAAAATATGCAGCTATGCACACCACCCACCACCTGCCCTTCTCTCTCCTTGACCTGGCATCAGCTACAGCAAAACCTGTTAAGCAGGAGTTAAGTCTGACTAGGAAACAAATTCTAGAACTACCCCAAGCCACTGCTCCCAGAGGGTGTGGTGTTTGTGATAAGAGTGCCCAGGGAAGTCTACACTTGCAGCGCAGACTTGCTGTAAGGAAAGAGGTCAGAAGCTGTTTTTTTCAAATGTAGAGTCTCAAAGGAGATCCACGGAGGTATTCATCTTAAATAATTAAGAAGAAACTACAACTTTAAAGAGGAACATAAGAATTCCCATACCAGATCAGACCAATGGTCCATCTAGACCAGTGTCCTGTTTCCAGCAGGGGCCAGAGCCAAAGAAACCCCGTAATGGATAATCGTGGGCAAAACTTCCCATAAGAGAATTTCTTCCTAGCCTCCATTGTTAACAGATGGCTGCTGTACTACCAGACATGGTCCCTTTGCAGATGACAGAAGGAAAAAAAACAGCAGATCAGAATCTAAGAACATTTTTTGGATCTAAATCTTTTAATTCCCCTCCAATAAGCATTCTTTGGTTTTGGATGCCAGGTCTTCAATGAAAGACTGTATGAACTGTTACTTTTAAAGACATCCTAGTAACACTTCGGGGTGCAGAAGAAAGAAGTATAATCAAATACTATCCCAGAAAGGTAAAGAGGTTGTGCTGCTAACACTTCTGTCAGTTCTGTTAACTGACACTCCTTGTACCGTTCAAGCAATTCAAAATGAGTTGGTAAGAGACAGTAACAATACCTTATCCAGAATAATTCTGACCTCCAGTAGTCAATAAAAATTCCTCTAAAGCAGATGCAGAGAAAATCAGGAAACAAGGAATCCATCTTGGGAAGCTAAGAGAGCTTTGTTTAGCGCAGTAGAAAAAAGGTGAAAGGAAACATGATTTTTGCCTGCACTAAGGAGTTAAACTCCAAGGAGGCAGAAAATGCTCAAAACCAATGGGCTGGTTTAAAACTTCGAGGGTTTTTTTTCCCCCCTTTGCCAGCAGAGTCAAGCAAAGGTTATTAGACTTCTAACCAACAAAATTATGAGTCTGAAACAGCCTCTCAACAGGAGAGAAGAGGCAAAAAACATGCAAGTAATTTTATTGAGAGCTTAATCTTTTTTGCAGATGACTACGTGATGGGGCTCCCTGCAACGCAGAGAAGTGGATTTAACAGTCAGAGCTTTGGAGGTCTATGTTTCTATGACTCACTACAATGCAGGGAACGTGGGTAGGTAAACAAGTATTTCAGTAGTATACTACCTTCAAATGAGTGAGATGCAGGCTGTAAGTGGGCAACTTCCACATCCATAAAGATGCCATCCATCAGAAATTGAGGCACAAGATAGCTCTGATAGCTCAGAGAATGAAATACACAGAATTGCAATAAGCGGCCAATATTCGAGTGAGATCAGGAAGATTCCCTCTGCATGTACATACTTAAAAGAAGACAATGACAAAACCTCAAGAGGTCTTAGCCCATAGTTTGTCTGTAGCTGATGTTCTAATACATCAAGAGCACTTGGCTTTGGTTGGTTTCTTTTTGTAAACAGACTGTTAGAGTGCAAAGAAGTATTTGTCATCACCTTTGGACATACTTGGAGAAGCAAAACTACAGACAAGCTATTTCTTCCACTAACTCGCTTCCTTTCTCACTTGGAAGCTACATGCCAGATACATATACTCCATTAAAGACTGCTACCTAGCTTTTTAGCTAATTGAAAGATCAAAACTTTCTACGTTGCTTCTGAAATTTGAATGCTACACAGCAATTCCAGCAAAGGGTCATTAAAAGCAATTACCTACCTCTTCTGGTTTAACCTCTCTGCTAGTGAAATCCTTTATGCAATCCAGGAAGCAGTTTTCTGTAAGTTTATTGTATGTTCCAAGAAACTCCTTGAACTACAAATGTAAATTGGACAATGAGTATTAAAAAAATTCTGCATTAATTTTTTCTTACAGACAGCTGCATGGGCCACCTGATGACACATTTAAAGGACAAGTCACTAGAAAAAAGTTTATTATCAGTCAGAAGCTTTCCACACCAAACACTGCTAGTACTCAAATCAGATACTATACTGTGTCTGTCGATGGTCAAATGTTTAAGTTTTGGTTGCTACAGAACTAGTCTCAATTCAGATAATTTAAACTTTTTGTAATTCTCTGTCCTACACCTTTTACTCTACTTGACAAAGTAATATAAGATCTTCAAAGCCACCACTCATGAATACAACATCTTACCTGCTTTATCTGATCAGATTCCGATATTTGTCCAGCCATATTCTACCACCTGTGATTCAGCCACCTATTCTGAAGATAAAAGTTGAGTTTCACACAGAAAGCATACATACAAATGGCAACATTTTAAAATAAAATGGATTTTTTTACGTCCTTGAAGTGTGTTGAAATGCAACTTTGCTAGCAAACTTTCAAGCCATCCACTTGAAGGCAAGTTACCTATTTTAAGTGTATTCTGTTAAAAGAACATCCAAGATAATTCCAGGTATGAAACCTTCTAAAAAAGGTATTTTATAAAAGCTTTCAAACTCACAAATTAAAACTGGGGCAGGAGTCGGGGGAGAAGCAAGCAATAACATTTCCTAGCCTTATAGTTTCAGTGACTTTAGATGTCATCTGTAAAAACTTCCAGGTACGAAACCTTCCCAGATCGACGTGTTAACTGCTGTCTTTTAAAAACTTTTTAAGGATTTCAAACAGTGAAAGTGACTTAAAAAAAAAAAAGGTATTTTATAAAAGCTTTCAAACTCACAAATTAAAACTGGGGCAGGAGTCGGGGGAGAAGCAAGCAATAACATTTCCTAGCCTTATAGTTTCAGTGACTTTAGATGTCATCTGTAAAAACAGTAAGGAAAAAAGACAAGTATAAAATGGTAGCCACTCTGAGTAGATGCAGCATAAGCCAGCTTGCATCAGAGAAGCAGACGCCTAGTTTCTATGTAGCTGCGTTCTCACCAAACACTTAAACTAGAGCAAATGTCCTGGTCATTGAATATAGTGAATTAAATACAAGAAAACACAGAAGAATGAGAACGGCCTTAAAGGAAGTGAAACAGACAAAGAAAAAGGGAAGAATGAACAGTTATGGATCCAAGAATTTAAGCAAGCATCCTCAAGGAAGACTTGCATTCCTAATCCAACATGATAAACAAGTTAAAGCTTGAAAGCATCCCTGCAGGCTTCCTAGAACACTGAAAGCTTCCTTTTCCCTTAAATTTACATATTATCTAAGACCTATCACAGATGATAATGCAAGCTAATATTACACACTGACAAGAACAAGATCCTTCAGTTTAATTCACATCAACTTACGGAAGAAAAATTAGCACTGAAGTGTAATCACTTTATGAAAAAAGTTCATTTAGCCCTTTAGCAAGGGCTACTTACAATTAATTTTGTCTTATGCTTTGCCAAATTTTGAGCAACACATTCATGTTTTAGAAAGCTTAAACTATTCCAGTCTCTCAGCAGGGGAGAGAGAGAGGGTAAGCAAGCCTTCTGAACAAGAACAAAAAGACATTAGTAATTATTTCTACCACAGAAAGAAAACTAAACAACTAAAAATAGCACTATGGAGCTCTCACAAGCATGCACTCTCCCTACAGCCCCTCCCAGTAGCAGGGCAATTATAACATTTGCCTCTTAACATTACACTTTATCACTACACAGGCAGCCAATTCAGCAACTGGAGGTAAAGACCACATACGATTCTTGGATTTCAGATGCATAATCTCCCCCTGACCAAAAGTTCCTCATGGGCATACAGATCATAGAGAGTACCCTTAAGGAGAACCTACAGAACATGGCTGCTCAGAAGAAACAAGGTGTTATTTGGGTTAATGTAAACCTCTAACTTGTTTTAGGAGAAGTGGACGTGACTGTCATTTGGGACAACAACTACTGAAAACAGAGAGCAGCTCCACTCTCTCATTTCTCAGCCTGTTAGAAGAAAAATCAGTGACAATTCTAGTTTAAGTAGATTATTAAACAGAGAGTTGGACACCACAGAGAACAGGAAAGACTTTTGTCCTCCCAAGCACAGAAAGCTAAAAGCTTGAACTGTCAGTGCCATTTTCTCACACTTGGTATTGCTTCATTATGCTTGTTTATAACCAACTTGATCTTTTGTTCTTCTGAGACTAGTTTGGCAAGCTTGAAATTACAGATTTACTGAACTGCAGTTCCACAAAGCTTTTACACTTGCACTTGGGAAATAGCTCTGATTTAAATCAGCACAACAGCACTATCTGATTTTAAGTGTCTGAAGCACTTGTCCTTCTAGAGGTATTTTACACTTTCCACACAGCAGGCAGTGAAATTATATGGCTCTACTGCACCTCTTCAGTAGCTGTAAGTTACAGGCAGTTGCCTTAACAGCTAAAAATGCACTACCTGAACATTCCCAGAAATGTGCATATCTGGTTTATTCTTAAAGCCTGTTAAATGTATCATTTCAAGTTTTCCTGTTTGTCCCCTTTCCCTCCAGCCTGTGAAACAAGCCCAAAAAAAAGAAAAAAAAAGTCATGAAAGAGCCCATTACGGAGCCTGGCACCTCAACTAACACACCACAGAGCTTCTTACGTAGCTGCTCCAACAACTCCAGCATGCTTCAGGTTTAAGCCTACGCAGCCTGGATTACTTTCCTCTGGGCTAAATGCAATTTGAAAATTCAGCGCTGTACTTTTAAACATGTCACACTGAAGGAAGCAGGTATCTCTGAATAAGCCTCTGCAACAAGGGTCACATGGTCTGGATGTGCTTGTTCACCAGGAAAGGAGCAACAGCTGGGAAGTCTCCCTTCTTGAAGGGCTCTGGAGCTCTTCCAAATATGTTTTGATGTTCTAAAGAGGCATTCTTTTAAGATAAGCCTCTCTGAGCAGAATTAGCAGTTAAGGATAACTTGAAGTTTTGATTTCTTATAGTTAGGCATAATGAGTTTTCCATCCTCTTTCCAAAGATAATAAAGGCTTTAGCCTATTCAAACCTGTTCTCTATGCCAGATCCATCCCAGCTCCCAGCCCTGTTTTAGAATCTGGAAAATGCCTCTAATATTTCCTTCTGCTGTGGCTGCTGCTCCTATTGCCATGGAAACGTGAAATCATTAGAGTGACAGTTCTTTTTTAAAAAGGTAAAACAAGTTTATTAAATAAAAACAGTGATTAGGTTAGGGATTCCTAGCTAACCTAGGTCAATCTTCTGTTTCCACAGCAGGAGGAACAGGAGCCAGAACTCTTCTAAAACTTCTGATGTGTGGGAATACAGCTTCCCCAGCTGTATCTACAGACCTTCAGAAGCAGAGGGCTTGTGAACGTAACTCCTAAGCGCTAATAACTGGAACAGAGCTTTTGATTATTATTACGGTACTGCTGGGTGGCTGAAAAGCCTGCCTCCATTTAACAGCCTGTTCTTACAGGTGAAGCATGCACTGTAAACTACAGTGAGGAAGTTTTTTTTCCACTGATGTAATCAACATTAGTGTCTATTACCTAATCTTAAGTCAACATTATCCTTTCCCATGGAAACCAAACAAGCCCTGTGTTTTGGGTTTTTTTCAGCCTTTTTGTGAGGAGCTATATTTTACTGGGGGAGAGGGGCTATTGCGAGACACCATAAATCCCTCATACTTGTTAGCCTGATTGACAATCTGAATTAGGTGTAGGTACGACCTACTTTATACATAGAAGGCTGCAATTTTTTTTAAACCTTCACTTCTAATTGTACACACAGATCACCAGGCAAATGTTTCTGCATGTGCATAAAAAGGACAAAGAAGAATAAAAATATCAAGTCAAAGAAATGTGTCAACATAAAGCACCGACAGTTTGTAATTTTTATCATTAGGAATTACTAGGCTAGAACTTGATTGACATCAGATTAAAAAAAACCTGATTGATTTAAAGAGCTCTTTTACTGAAGCTAATCAAACTACAAATACCTATGAAACCAGCAGGCTGCTAAACTAATCACGTACAATTCAGGGCACGAGGCAATTTAACACTGAACTCCAGTGCTGTGCATCTGAGCAACCTTCTGTCCTGCACCAGCACAGCGAGGCAGCGGTGACAGCCCTGCTGTGTCCCCTCTCGCCAGGAAGGCAGAGCCTGGTTCTCCCCACTCCCGGAGCGGGTCCAGCCGCTTTCCTTCAGACTGGTCCTTGCAATGCAGTTACACGAAGGCTTTCTTCTTGCTGTGCACACTACAGTCATCCTTCGGAGATGGCAAGATGAGAAAGGGACTGGTCAGAAGGTGGCTGGATAATAAGATATACCTGGTGCACAGGTTATTATAATTCATGATCTGATGGCTGTGGGCTAGATCCTGCTCTGAAGAAAGAAAGGTCAATCGCAGAAGTCTTCTAACACCAAAGGCAAGTTAACACAGTAAGTCTGAAATCAGACACCCTGAGAGCCTCTTTGAACAGACTGAACACATGCAAGGACATCTGTCCTGTGAGAAAGAGATATTTTTCCAGAAGCAGTCTCCTATTTAAGTTAGATTAGGCCTGGCTGACACTTTTGACCCAATAAAATCAAAATCCGAGCTGGTGTAACTGGATATAAACCAATTTCACCTTGATTATTTTATTATTTTTTTTACTACATCCTTCAGTTCTTACTTTCAAGTACGCCTTGAGTATCTTTGCCTGGGGAGACATTCGTTAAGCCAAGCCCCAACCCTACAGCTCCAGCGCCCGCCAGGCCGCTGCGGATACA